TCCCAGATGGCCCTCCTGGAGATGGCGTCCATGCCTGAGGTGGGCTCGTCTAGCATCAGCACCTGGGGGCATAGGCACAACCTGGTGACAATGGGAGACCTGTGTGGTGGAACTCCACAGCTGGAGTCCAGGGATTTGCAGAGCTGGTTCAAGTTCCAGAGCCTGAGGCCTCTGGGCCTGCTGCCCTGTGTCTGTCCACTGTGTTGGTGGAAGCTGTGCCCTAGTGTCCCATACCTTGGAGCCTACTATGAGGGCGATGCCGATGGACAGCTTGTGCTTCATGCCCCCACTCAGGAACTTGGACCGTGCGTTGTGCTTGTCCTCCAGATTGAGGATGTGCAGCATCTGCTTGACTTCTTCAGGGCACTTCTGCTGAGACAGGCCTTTCAACTGAAATGGCAGGAGGCAAGAGATGAGACTGGTGATACAGAAGGGACCCAACTCTGCCCAACCAACATTTTGTATGTATATACGTAAAATATACACATGGAAAACATACAAGAAGCTTACTACTTTTGGGGAAAGGGATAGACAAAAAAAGACTTTTGCATTATATTATTTACTGTGTAAATAAATGACTTAATAAAAATAAACACAGCAGTATGTTAAAAGGATAATGCATTATGACCAAGTAGGATTTATCTCAGGAGTACTAGGGTTGTTCAACACATGAAAAATCAATGTGTTTTATAATAAAGAATTTGTCTGGCTTTTGTCTTTGGTTCCTGGAAGGAAGCTCCTAAATCCTCAGAGCTTCCCAAGTGATAGCAGTGTCTTTGTTACTTGTGGTGAGCCCCTCAGGTCACGCCAGAGTTTATGCTAGGGAGGTGACTCAGGATAGGGGCTGGTCATACCAGAAAGACCAGCCATTTGGTTAGAGGCTCTGAGACACATGATATCAGCCTGATCTCCCCACCTCGGGGGAGTGGAGGAAGACCGGAGATTGAGTTTAATCACATGATCAATGATACAATCCTATATAATGATACATGCCTATATAATGATCAATGATACATGCCTATATAATGAAGCCCCAATAAAAACTCTGGACACTCAGAGATCCTGGACAATAGTTTTAAAAAGTACAGTTAATGAAAAAAAATTAGATAAACTGGAGGATATCAAAACGTAAAACTTTTGTGCATCAAAAAGAAAAAGAGAAAAAAAAGAAAAACACTGCTGCTGGGAGTGATGGCATATGTTTGTAATCCCAGCTACTTGGGAGGTTAAAGGAGGAGGATCATGTTATGGTGAAAGCTTGTCTCAAAAAGGGAAAAAAGCATCAATAAAGAGAAAAGACAATGCACAGAATGGGGGGGGAAATTACAAACCATATATTTGATAAGGGTCTAGTATCTAGCTCCTAATAAAAATATGTCTTAAAATTCAACTACAGGGGTGGAGTTGTGGCTCAGTGGTAAGAGCACTTGCCTAGCATGTGTGAGGCCCTGGTTTGATTCTCAGAACCACATATAAATAAATGAATCCAGTAAAGGTCCATCAACATCTAAAAAATATTTTTAAAAATTCAACTACAAAAAGATAAACAACCCATCTGAAGAATGAGCAAAGAAATTGGACATTTTTCCAAAGAAGTATACTAACAGCCAACAAACACATGAAAAGATACTATCATCAGTCACCAGGGAAATGCAATGAAACACAGAGATACTACTTCACACCCACTACACTGACAGTTTCTTTTTTAAAAAGTTGAACATATAGTTACCACAACTTGAGAATTTCACTTCTAGGTATATACCCCAAATAACCCAAAACAGATGTTCAAACAAAAATTTATACACCAAGGTTCATAGAAGCACTATTCACAATAACCAAAGGGTAGAAATAACTCAGATGTACATCAACTGATGAGTGGATAAACAAAAGTTGCCCTAACCATGCAATGGAGATGTAGTCAGCTATTAAAAGGAGCAAAGTATTGCTGGGACTGGTGGCACACACCTGTAACCCTAGCTACTCAGGATATTGAAGCAGGAGAATTACAAATCCAAGGCCAGCTTGGRCAACTTAAAGCCTATCTTGAAATAATAATGAAGGGGCTGGGGATGTGGCTCAAGCGGTAGCGCGCTCGCCTGGCATGCGTGCGGCCCGGGTTCGATCCTCAGCACCACATACCAACAAAGATGTTGTGTCCGCCGAGAACTAAAAAATAAATATTAAAAAAATTCTCTGTCTCTCTCCCCTCTCTCACTCTCTCTTTAAAAAAAAGAAAAAAAAAGAAATAATAATGAAAAAAAGGGCTAGGGATATAGTTCAATGATTGCCTACCATATGCAAGGCCATGAATTCAATCTCTAGTACTGCAAAAATAAATAAATAAAAGAAGTGAAGTATTAATTATACAAGATAAAATGTGGATAAACTTTAAAAACATAATACTAAATGAAATAAGTCACATATTGCATAATGGCATTTATATGAAATATCTAAGATAGGAAAATCTGTAGAACAGAAAGCAGATTAGCGATTGCCAGTGGCTGGTGGAATAGAGAAATGAAGAGTGATTTTAATGTACAAGTTTTTCTTTGATGAAAGAGTTTTGCAGGGGCTGGGGTTGTGGCTCAGYGGTAGAGCACTTGCCTAGCACTCGTGAGGCACTGGGTTTGATCCCCAGCACCWCATAAAAATAAATAAAGGCATTATGTCCATCTACAACTAAAAAATATATAAAAAAAGGAAAGTGTTTTGCAGTTAGATAGTGGTAGTGAGTGCACAAAACTGAGTGTACTAAAACCCACTAAATTAACACTATAAAATGAGTAAAATAATGACTTTTAGGTTATGTGAATTTTATTTCCATAAAATATAACAATAAATATAATGGTTTCTAAAAATCCTTTCACTCAGAAATCATGCCCCTCCCCCCCTCTGAATATTTGGGGAATAGTGTCCAGCATTATTGAAACTATGATAAAAAGAAATACATATTTGATTTCTACCCTGCTTTCTGAGTCAGTGCTTCCAAAGCCCTTGTAACTTCCTGAATGATAAGAAGTCTAGTTCTAATAATTCTAGTTCTAATATTTAATCTAATATTTAGCCTTTGACTTGATACTTGATTTCATCTGCTATTCAGCCCCTAGATCCCTGGAAATTTTCTGGGTTACAGGAGTGTGTTTTGTTTTAATGAGGTGACTTTTTTTGTAATAGTGATTGAACCTGGGTGTTTTATCACTGAGACACATCCCCAATCATTTTTAAAAATATTTTTTAGTTGTATATGGACACAATAACTTTATTTTATTTGTTTTATTTTATTTTATTTTTTATGTGGTGCTGTGGATCAAACCCAGTGCCTCACACATGCTAGGCAAGCACTCTACCACTGAGCCATAACCCCTACCTTCCCCAATCCTTTTTAAAAATTGTTTGAGATAGGGTCTCACTAAGTTGCCTTGAACTGGTATCCTCATTCTAGTTCTAATATTTAGTCTAATATTTAGCCACACACCATGACCTGTGTGAGATGACTCTGTAGGTTCCTGGTCAACCTTAGGATGAGGGTTAGTCACTAGAATGACCAAGCCATGATTACATACTTGGAACTTTCAGTCCCACTCTGTATTCTCCAGGGACTAGGGAAAGAGGTTGGTGATTGAACTAATAATCAGTCATGCTTACATAATAAAGCCCAAATAAATAGTCTCTAGGTTATGGAGATTGGAGAACTTCTAGATTAGTGAGCATTTTAAAGTGCTAGGAGTGTATTGTGCTAAAAGGGTGTGCCACACACACTTTACCACATCTCTTACTCTGAATATCCTCTGGGTGTTCATCTGTATCCTTTATAATTCCCTGTACAATAAACTGGTCAACATAAGTAAATGTTTTCCTGAGTTTTATGAGCTGGTATAGCAAATTATTGAACCTGAGGAGGGGTCTGTGGGAACCCTTGATGGACAGCCAGCTGGCCCCAAGTATGGGTGACAGGAACTTGTAATTGGTATCTGAAGTGGAGGGTGGGCAATCTTGTGAGAATAAGCCCTTAACCCGGGGWTGGGAGAGGGTCTATGCTGCCTCCGGGTAGTTAGTATCAGAACTGTAGGATACCTAGTTGATTTTTGGAGAACTGGCTGGTGTGGGAACCACCCCACCCACATGTTTGGTGTAGAAGTGTTGAGAGTAAAGAAACATGAGTTTTCTCCTAACAGATTCTCCCAGGCTGAATCAGAGAGCTACAGTATATCTCACCATTGTCAAGAATGAACAGTAGAAACATTCCAGTTATTTTCCAACTCACCTGAGCATAAAAAAAAAAAGATGTTCTGCTACTGTGAAGTTATCAAATAAGATATCGTGTTGTGGGCACCAGCCTATGCTCTTCCTGATTTGAACCATGTCTTTTGAAATCTCATATCCATTGATATATGCCTGTCCACTTGAAGGGGAAATAGGACCTAGAACAAAGTGAAAGAGACACCCTAAGTCATCTTTGGTTAGCGTATGCATCAGTACAAAGACTAATAATTACCCCTGCTTTACTTGCTTGTTCTCCAACAGACTGTCCCTATTCTACTTATCTGCCACCATCAGTCAGCCAGTAACATCCAATGAATATGTATGGCAGTGGAGATTATTAGAAATAGGAGATGTCATTCTTCCTCCTGCTTTTGAGAATCAATCTGATTAAGTGAACAAAACAACATAGGSGCTTGTGAAGCAAATCATATTATTGTAAGGAATAAACAGTGATTTGGATGAATAGTAAATATGGTGAAAGAGAAAAGCATTTGGAGAAACTAACAGTTTTGAATTAAGATGCTTGGCAAGATCTGTACTTATCTCTGATCCCCTCAAAATATCATCGATGAATAACTGCACACACTGCCAAATATATGCCAGTATTATGGTTTGAACTTGGAATGTCCCCCCAAAGTCTTATGTGTTGAAGGTTTGGTCCCCAGTACAGCAAGTTTCAAGAGACAGGGCTTTTGGGAAATGATTGGATTGTGAGGACTTTGACAGCACAAGTGGTCCTGGGTTCTATCTCCAGTATGACCCCCAAATAAAAAAGCAAAGGTTACAAAAATGCCATCATTAAAAGATAATTCTATGTTGACATTTTGCTGTATAAGCTTAGGTATTTTTTATGCATACAGTCTCACATATTTATTTATTTGTTACAGTGCTGGGGATTGAACCCAGGGCCTCCAGCATGCTAGGCACTGTACCACTGAGGTACTACCCCATCCACACAATTAATTTTTAACTAAAATGGGAAAATACAAATTCTGTTTTTAACATTTTTCTAAATATAACAAAGTATGGTTGAATTCATTTTGTTCACATCAAAAACATTTGTATTGGGCTGGGGTTAAGGCTCAGCGGTAGAACGCTTGCCTCGAACATGTGAGACCCTGGGTTGGATCCTCAGCTCCACATAAAAATAAATAAGTGAAATAAAGGTTAAAAAAATTATCTCCATTAAAAATCTATATCAATTTTAAGTGCTAAAAGGATTTCATTGTTACAAATCTACTCTATTTATTCAACCCAGACCTACGGATATTTATATTATGTGCAACTTTTCATGAGCATAAACATACATGAAAATTTTGCTTATTTATCTCCTTATTCTAAATTAGTATAATTAGATTTGGTAAGCCAAAAGGAAGGCAAGAGTTTAAAGGTTTTTGATACTAACTGCTACATTACCTGCTGCTGGGTGTTTGGATCTTCCACCTTGGCTGTATATAATAAAGTATCCATGATTGTTTGGAAAGTAAAAGGGGAAAAAAAGTGATACTATTTTATAGCAACTTGTAACAAGCCTTTTATATAAAGTTACAACAGAAGAACTTATAGAAAATTCAAAAGCCAAATAACTTTACTGGGCAGAGAAATGTGGTCTGAAACATTAAACATGCCAGTGCCAGGTTTGGGGCCTTTTTGCAAACAATTACCATATGGAAGCCCTTTGCTCTCCATCTTCCTGGCAAGCAACCAGACTTTTCTTCCCAGCTTAGCATATTCAGATGTCCTGAATCCCATGGTATAAGTCTTAGTGGCTGAATTTTCACCAGGGCAGGGTTAACATTTTTCTATGCCATGTCATGCTGGTAGAAACTGTGGTGGGGCTTCTCTGATATAGCATTCATAGCTTTTTGGCAGCATTTGCAATTATATTAATGGATTAATTTAGTCATTTATTTATAATATTTATTTATTATTTATAATACCTATGCAGTGTAAGCACTATCTAGGAATTGTGGATCCAGAAGTTAACAGAATAGGTTTYCTCAGGTGCAGAATGGATGACAGATATAAAGAAATAACACATATATACAAATAAATGAGATAATTACAGACTTTGAGGAATACTAGAGACAATCAAAAGGGAATGCAATAAGGGAAGGGTCTATGAGATGAAGCAAATAGGTGGCTTCCCTAAACAATCTGGTACCTAACTTGTCTCCTTGACACTTCTCACCCTAGAGGGTATAGCTGGATCTCCSTCCTGATGGTGAGGAACTCAACAAGCCCATGTAAGGGGAGAGGCCCTAACTGGTCACACTGCCAGGAGCAGCAAGGCCTAACCTGAAAGAGAATCTGCTTGACCCTATCCAGAAAGCTGACAGGCTCAGTCCCCAGTTTTTACACACACAGAGTTCCTCCACTTTAGTACAAACTGGGCTGAGATGGCTTTCTAAGTCCTGATACAAGAGGGGTGGCCACAGGCACCTCTCCCCAAGCGTCACTATTTGRTTGCTCTTCAAATGTTTTTGATGGAAGACTGAATACATTCATATTGGCAACATGTGAAGAGATCACAGCAGCCAGACTTTAAGTGCTAGAAGTTTCTCAACAGTATGGTATTCTGTTGTTGCAAGGAGAACCTGTTGGCTTTAAGAACTCCATGAAGTGCATCTTATTGGTTTTGTTCAGGGCTTTATATATGTTAAACCCTCAATAAATACGTTTCTTGCATGAATTTTTTCAAATTTATTTATTTTTATTGTTTAATTTTTTATTGTTGGTTGTTCAAAACATTACATAGTTCTTGATATATCATATTTCACACTTTGATTCAAGTGGGTTATGAACTCCCATTTTTACCCTGTATACAGATTGCAGAATCACATCAGTTACACTTCCATTGATTTACATATTGCCATACTCGTGTCTGTTGTATTCTGCTGCCTTTCCTATCACATAATATTATTTATTTGATAGAATGTAAAATAATTACTTAGGTATATAAATTATTCTGAAATTAGAATCATTTTAAAATAATTCACCAGGTATCCTTTTTTGGGGGGGAGGAGGTACCAGGGATTAAATCCAGGGTCTCAAACATGATAGATAAAATCCCTACCACTAAGCAGCATCTCTTGTCCTTTACATTTAATTTTGAGACAGGAKCTTACTAAGTTTCCCAGGCTGGCTTCAAATTCATGATCCTTTTGTCTCAGCCTCCTGGGTAGCTGGGATTATAGGTATGCACCATCACACCTAACTTTGCAGTTACCAGTCTAAAAGTATCTGTGACAATCGAAAGCATATAAATGGGTAATGTTTTTGTTAAGAGATTAGTTCACGCCTCTCTGTAGCAGGAAGGTTCTAACTGCTATTCAGTGTTCATGGCTTCTCCTGGTAAAGAAATTAAGTTCTGCATATTGACTGAAAGAGGCAAAGTAAACATGGTGCAGAGTAAACTAAACAACCAGATATTACATAGATGTTAAAACAAACAATAAAACAATGCTTACTATCAAAATGTCAGTGAAATCTAACAGGGAAGATGGAGCCCAAAATCTAGACCTGCTCAATGATTTCTTCAGTGTTTCCTCAGGAGGGCTGACCCCACCCAGGTACCTGTGAGCATGGAGCAGGTGGTGGTTTTTCCTGCTCCRTTGTGTCCCAGAAGAACAGTGATCTGACCTCTGTACAGATTCATACTCAGATCTTTGACTGCTATGTGTGCATTCCTCTCCTGTAAAATACCTGTGGGAAGGTCAAGGTGTGACTGACAGAGTGACACACACATGCAGAAGGCATTTTTTAAAATATTTTTTTTTAGTTGTTGATGGATCTTTATTTAATTTATTTATATGCGATGCTGAGAATAGCACCCACCAAGCAGGAGACATTTCTGAAGAGACTATAACAAACTGCATACCCACATCAACTTCTCTCAAAAGTTAATCTGTGGGAATCCAAGTGGGAATCTAAAAGGAAATGGCTTATTTTATTATGCCTCTAGGAGGGTGATCTGGAGCAATTTCAATGGCACCTTTCCCCTGATACCTAGAACCACAGAGGGCTTAGAACTGAAGAATGAAGTACTTAAGCATAAACAACAATCTTCTCCCTGCATCTGGAACTAGACCTTGCCCTTTTACCGAGCTAGGCCCCTGAGAAAGGGCACCCTGCCTCTTCCATGTGAGGTTGTTGATCTGGATAAGGAATCTTAGAGTCACCTGTTTTCCAAGTCAAATGTCTCCAGTACTTTAAATACCATTTAAAAAATTACATAAGTATACCCACCACTTCCTCATAGTTGAAGAACAGACATTCAAACAGAACACCCATGCTCTGCAGGATACTAAGGCACTGAACTCACATCCTGTTACTGGAGTCCTAAGTTGACACAGGGCACTTGGTGGAGCAAGGCTGGCAGACACTGTGAAGGGACATTTACCTCCTTCTGCACTGATATGCTAACCATGGAATCTGTCAAATCTAGTTTGATTTGACAGATAAGTTACCCACCAAGTGGCTGAATTCCAGCACTTCTCCAATGGTGGGTGTTTGGCACTACAGTATGAGAGGAGACTGCCTCTAAGAGACAGATCACYACTGCATTGTGAATCTGCTTATTTACTGTCAGGGTCTATTACACAGAAGACACTGAACACATACTTATTCCACAAATAAAGGAAAGCACTGAGGAAGTCTTTGGCTCCATTCCTGGGTGTATATGTATCCTGTGTGAGCCAAGTGTTTAATCTGAACATGAGCTGACAAAGCTTTTCATTTAAAGCATCCAAAATGCTGCATGTCTTCTGTTTCCACAAAGGATGGAGGAGTTAGAAATCATTAACACCACAGGAAAGATTCAAGTACTGAGAGCAGACAGACAGGCTATCTCAGTGCTCCCCAAATGTTAAGGTACTTACTAATCACTTGTGAATTTTGTTAAAATGTAGACTGATGAGGTCTGTCTTGGTGGGCTTGAGACTCTGCATGTCTAACAAGATTTTAGTAGGGCTGAAGCTGCTGGTCACAGGACATGCTGTGAAAGCAGAGGCTAGGCAATCTCTAAGGCCCTTGTGGGTAAGAGAGTCTCCGATTTGCCTTTCATTCTGTTTTTTTTTTTTTGCATTTTGGGTTAAAAATTTTGTACATATCAGGACTGATTCCAAAGTGGCAATAAACATTAATTATGCATGATTCATGAAAGTCAGAGACCTCCTCATCTAGGACAGTCTACAGTGTCCAAGTAGAAGAAAAGCATAAAGGTTTCCACAATTCTGTAGACCTTTGATTGTCAGTTAACTTTATTTTTATTCATTATAAATATAAGGTTGAGTTGACCAGGTTGGCCTCAAACTTGCAAACTTCCTCAAACATCCTCCTGCCTCAGCTTCCTAAGTAGCTGGGATTACAGGCATGTGCCACTGTACTCAGCTGAGTATCCTTTCTCATAAAGTGACTAATCAAGTATTTTCTTCTAATTTTTAAATTTTAATTAAAAAATTTTCCACCTAACTTTTTGAACTATAAGATAACATTTTCAACTGATTTTATGAGTTCTTCAAATATTCTGGATATAAGCCTTTTGTCAGTTAAATGTGTTACAAGTATCTTTTCCCACTCTGTTGTTTATCTTTGTCTTCTCTTTATGGTATCTTAATTTTAGTGTCAATATTTTTCATTCTTTTCAATGGACTGAAATCTCAAAAATTGTGAATTATAAACATTTCCTCTTTTTAATTTGATTATCTCAGTTATTTTGTTATAGTAATAGAAACCTGATTAAAGAACATGTTAAAAGCATATTCCTCAAGCCGGCATATAGAGAGGTAGAATCTTCAGCATATGGGGCTTAGTGGGAGATCTTTAGATAACTAGGGGGTGTGCCCTTAAWGGGGATTATGTGACCCAAATTTCTTCATTTTTTCTTCACTCCTTTCCTCATTATGTAGGAAGTTTGTTCTACATAGTCATATCAGGATGTGCCAACCTCCGAGAGGCCCAAAGCACTGAGGCCACCTGCTCTTCAACTATGACCTCCAAACTGTGAGCAAAACAAACCTTTCTCTTTGTAAGTAAATTATTTCAGGTAGTTTATTATAGTAACATGAAACTGACTAATATAGTCTCCTAGATCAACCTGTAAAAGAAGAGACACTAGGGGCTGGGCTGTAGCTCAGTGGTAGAGTGCTTGCCTCGCAGGTGTGAGGCCCTGGGTTTGATCCTCAGCACCACATAAAAATAAAATAAATAATAAATAAACATATTTAAAAAGTCTTTAAAAAAGAGAACTCATTAAAAAAAGAAGAGACACTAAAGGCAATAAGAATAATATATGATATATATCTGTAAAGTTTTAAAGTATTATCCAAGCTTCTAATCATAAGTCTCCATATTTTGTATCTATAATTACATAGGCATTTAATTTCCTAATTCTTTTTTTTTTTTTTTTTTTTGAGCCAGAGTCTTGCTATGTTGCTCAGGCTAGCCTCAAACTTCTGAACTCAAGTGATTATCCTCCCTCAGCCTCTCAAATAGCTGGGACTACAAGTGCACACCACCACATTCAATTCTAATTTCCTAATTATTTAATATGCTTTAGTTCTTTTCCCCAAATATATTGGTTATTTTTTTTTCTTTCAGTACTGGGGATTGAACTAGGCRTGCTCTACCACTGAGTTACATCCCCAGCCCTTTTCACAGTCTCATTATGTTGCCCAGGTTGGTCTTGAACTTGTGATCCTCCTGCCTTGGCCTCCCAAGTAGCTGGGATTATAGAAATGCGTCATCACAAACAGCTTTCCAATTTTACTGTAAATTGTATGGTTTGAACCATATTGTGTATTTCCTTAGAGTTGCACAAAGTATCTACCACAGTTCTAAGAATAATGTAAATGCTCAGAACACTGAATGAACTGTGTCAGTTATATTTAGTGGTAAATGAAGGTCAGCCTTGCCTGGGGCAAAACATCCAGGCACTACCCTAGAGAGAGCTTGGGAAAGATAAATCTCACCTTTTGCCTCAAACATGGACATGAAGTGGACTCCCATTGCCATGGCAACATTTGAGAAGAGACAAAAGGTTATCTTTTCAAAGTAGCTCCTCTGGTGGTAGCTGAAAGTGAGGTACAGGTAGGGGAGGTAGGTGAAGAAGAAGATGATACCTYCTGAGGCAGTTCCAACGTGTGCTGCAAATTTAGATGGAAGATATCAAGAATTTCATCAGTAATGCACAAAGAACTATGACATATCCTTTTTTTCCCTGCCACAGTAAGGCAAGTATCTCTGTGTTTGTCTCAGCATTTCAGAGAAGAAGCAATCTCTTAAAAAATTTTGATAGAGACCTTTTACAGTCGTACACTCACTGGATTAAGATGAAAAACATTTGTAGCACTTAAAATGTGAAATGACCTTTATATAAAGGCATAAATATCTGTGTAAAACTTTCTCTCTTTAAAACTGCATTAATTTCTCCTACAACAAAAGCCCTCTTCTTCAAAGATGAGTGGTAGTTTGAAAAGCAGCTATTAATTCCTACCGGGCAATATGCCAAGTACTTTATATATATACATCATCTTATTGAATCTTCATAACTTCCCTGTTTTTCAGAGGAGAAAACTGAAGCTTAATCACACAAAATAAATTTGTTTAATGTCTTGAAACTAGTGAGTTATGGTAAAGAATTCAAGGTTTTTCAGTCTGTAGACATAGTGGTTCAAAATTTGGATACAAGGCCAATCTGGCTGACATCTGGGAGCTAAACTCAAGTAAAATGCAGATGTTTAACTCCTAGAAAGTTAAAAGAATAAGAATTGAAAATATGGGCTGTGGCTGTGGTTTAGCGGTAACACAATTGCGTGGCACGTGTGAGGCACTGGGTTCGATTTTTACTTTTCTTAATATTTATGTGTGTTTGTTTTAGGTATTCTACCATCTCCCCAACAACTTGTCTACCCAAAATCACTTCCTCTCTCTTCTCCTGCTACTAACCATCTTCTTTAGATTCCTTTCACACTTCCTAAGATCTAATAACTCTGTATCCTCACCTCCTACCCCCTCAAAAATCTCATCCTACCCTTCACTCACCCCCACCCCCCCACCCCCAAATTCTTTGTCCACCATTGGAAACTGAAAACTCTTGCAAACCTACTGTTTATATTGTAGATAATAATTGAACTCACTATTTCTGTAAATTGTGACTAAACCAGAAACACCTTAATAGCAACTATTTGGTTTAAGGTTGTATATTGTTTATATTGGGATCTGTTAACAATTGATCTTCCCCTCAAAGGAGAGGTATTAGAAACCTGAAGGGGCACTATAAGCCTACAGGTAAAAACAGTAATGCCATGGATCTGCAGTGTTAGAAGGGAAGACACACAAACAACATGAAAAAACAYGGGAAGAAAGTGCCCCCCAAAAATCAAGATACTACATTATTAGAATCCATGGACACGACAACAGAAGAAATGACAGAGAGGGAGTTCCAGATGTACAAAACTAAAATGTTCTGTGAATTAAAGAATGATATAAGAGAAATATGGGCAGCAAAAGATCATTTTGATAAAGAGCTACATAAGCAAATACAGGAAGCAAAAGATTAATTCAATAGGGAGATAGWGGTTCTGAAATAAAACCAAACAGAAATCCTTGAAATGAAAGAAACAATAAACAAATCAAAAGCTCAATTGAAAGCATCACTAACAAATTAGACCACTTGGAAGACAGGACCTCAGATAATGAAGACAAAATGATCTTGAACCGAATGTTGACCACACAGTGAAGATAGTAAGAAACCGTGAGCAGAACATTCAAGAAATATGGGATAACATAACAAGACCAAATTTAAGAGTTATTGGGATAGAGGAAGGCATAGAGTTCCAAATCAAAGAAATGAATAATCTATTCAATGAAATAATATCAGAAAATTTTCCAAACATGAAGAATGAATTGGAAAAACAAATATAAGAGGCTTACAGGACAACAAATGTACAAAATTATAACAGATCCACACCAAGGCACATTATAATGAAAATGCCTTACATACAGAATAAGAAGAAAAAATTTAAAAGCCACCAGAGAAAGGAATCAGATTATATATGGGGGAAAAACAATTAGGAYATGTRGAAATTTTTTAATCCAGATCCTGAAGCTAGAAGATCCTGGAACAACATATACCAAGCTCTGAAAGAAAATGGATGCCAACCAAGAATCTTATGTCCAGCAAAATTAACCTTTAGATTTGATGATGAAATAAAAATCTTCCATGATAAACAAAAGTTAAAAGAATTTATAACTAGAAAGCCTGTACTACAGAACATCCTCGGCAAAATTTTCCAAGAGGAGGAAATGAAAATCAGCAGAGGGAAGTATTACACTAAAGGAAAAGTTAATCAAAGGAGAAAACAAGTCAAGTTAAATACCAAAAATAAACAAAATGGCTGGGAATACAAATCATGTCTCAAAAATAATCCTGAAAGTTAATGGCCTAAATTCACCAATCAAAAGACATAGACTTGGGGCCGGAATTGTGGCTCAGTGGTAGAGTGCTTGTCTAGCATGAGTGAGGCACTGGGTTCTATCCCCAGCACCACATAAAAATAAAAACAAATAAAATAAAGGTATTGTGTCCATTTGCAACTAAAAATAATTTTTTTTAAAAAAAAGACATAAAATGGCATATTGGATTTAAAAAAAAAAAGACCCAACAATATGCTGCCTCCAAGAGACTCATCTCATAGGAAAAGACATTCATAGACTGAAGGTGAAAGGTTGGAAAAAATCATATCACTCACTTGGACTGCAGAAACAAGCAGGGCTTTCCATCCTCATGTCAAATAAAGTGGACTTCAAGCTAAAGTTAAACAAAAGGGATAAATAAGGACATTTCAAACTGCTCAAGGGAACCATATGCCAACAAGACATAACAATTATAAATATATATGCCCCAAACAACAGAGCATCTATGATCACCAAACTCTTCTCAAGTTYAAGAGTCAAATAGACCACAACACAATAATTCTGGATGACTTTAACACAACTCTTTCACCAAGGGATAGATCTTCCAAACAAAAGCTGAACAAAGAAACTATAGTACTCAATAATACAATCAATAGCTTAGACTTAACTGACATATATAGAATAATTCATCTATCGATGAGCGAATACACTTTCTTCTCAGCAGCACATGAATCCTCCTCTACAATAGACTGTATATTATGCCACAAAGCAACTCTTAGCAAATACAAAAAAGTAGATACTACTCTGCATTCTATCAGATAATAATGGAATGAAATTAGAAATAAATGATAAAATAAAAATAAAAGCTATTCCAACACCTGGAGACTAAATAATGTAGTATTGAATGAACAATGGGTTGCAAAAGATACCAAAGAGGAGATAAAAAATTCGTATGGGACTGGGGTTGTGGCTCAGTGGTAGAGCGCTCGCCTTGAGCGTGAGAGACCTTGGGTTCGATCCTCAGCACCACATAAAAATAAATAAACAAAATAAATATATTGTGACAATGTAAAACTAAAAAAATATTTTAAAAAAATTCTTAGAGGTGAATGAGAATGCTGATACAACATATGAAATCTCTGGGACCCTATGAAGGCAGTACTAAGAGGAAAGTTCATTCCTTAAAAGAATAAAAAAGTCAACAAATAAATGACCTAACATTACATCTCAAAGCCTTAGAAAAAGAAAAACAACACCAAAAGCAGTAGAAAACAGGAAATAATTAAAATCAGAACTGAAATCAATGAAATTAAGAGAAACAACTGAAAAAATTGATATAACAAAAAGTTTGTTATTTTAAAAAATAAAAAAATTGATAAGCCCTTAGCCATGCTAATGAAGAAGAGAGAGAAAACCCAAATTACTAACAAACATGATTAAAAAGGAAATATTACAACAGATACTACAGAAACACAGAAGATAATTAGAAATTATTTTGAAAATTTTTACTCTAATAAAATATAAAATATTGAAGGCATTGACAAATTTCTAGAGTCATATGATTTGCCCAAATTGAATAAGGATGATATAAACAATTTAAACAGATCAATTTCAAGCAAAGAAATACAAGATGCCATCAGAAGCCTACCAAGCAAGAAAAGCCCAGGACTTTATGGATACACAGCCGAGTTCTACAAGATCTTCAAAGAAGAACTAACACCAATACTTTTCAAATTATTTTGTGAAATAGATAAAGAGGGAACACTTCCCAACTCATTCTATGAGGCCAATATCACCCTGATTCCAAAACCAGGCAAAGACACATCAAAGAAAGAAAAGTTCAGACCAGATACAATGAACACAGGTACAAAAAGTTTCAATAAACTTCTGGCAAATCAAATACAAAAACAAACATATCAAAAAGACAGTGCACACGATCAAGTGGGGTTCATCCCAGGTATGCAAGGTTGGTTCAACATATAGAAATCAATAGATGTAATTCATCACATCGATAGACTTAAGAGAATCATATGATCATCTCAATAGATGTAGAAAGAGCATTTGACAAAAAACAGTACCCCTTCATGTTCAAAACACTAGAAAAACTAGGGATATCAGGAACATATCTCGACATTGTAAAAGCTATCTGTGCTAAGCCCCAGGCCAACATCATTCTAAATAGAGAAAAATTGAAAGCATTCCTTCTAAAAACTGGAACAAGACAGGGATCCCCTCTTTCACCACTTCTGTTTTATTTTTTATTTTTTTAGTTTGTAGTTGGACACAATACCTTCATTTTATTTATTTATTTTTATGTGGTGCTGAGAATCGAATCCAGTGCCTCATACATGCTAGATAAGTGCTCTACCACTGAGCCACAAACCCAGTCCCTAATCACTTTAATTAATATGTATGATCGTGATGTAGATGTCCGTGTCCATTCTTTTGAATGTGGGTATCCATAATATAGGTGATAGAAACGACATTGCTTCCATTTTAAAAAATCATAAACACCCTCTGACAGAAAATTATATAAATTATATAAAGAACTCACCTCTTTGGAAGAATGTGCTGATCATGAATGCAAAGAAAATTGTATCAACAGCAAAACACATTAGAAAAACAAAAATCAAACTAGGATCACTATTCTTGAAAACAGCCATGTTTTCCACCTAGAAAACAATCCACAGATCTATAATGTTTACATGGAAAGAATGTGGAGAAACCATAAAGTGCCTCATAAAACATTGCACAAAATGTTTTTAAAATTCAAGATATCTTAAAGTAAACAATATACACAGTTTTGTGTGCGTGTGGTGGGGGGGCACTGGGGATCAAACTCAGGGGTGCTCAACCACTGAGCTACAATCCCATACCTTTTTATTTTTTGTTTTGAGACAGGGTCTTGATAAGTTGCCAAGGCTGGCATGGAACTTGCCAGCCTCTTGTCTCAACCTCACAAATTGCTGAGATTACAGATATGTGCTGTCACACCTGGGTTATACTCAATTTTTGAGACTGATATTTGGTCAGCATCCTCTATCATTTACAAATTATGCTCTGTACATGTATTTTTTTTTGTGTGTGTGGGAGGAAAGCATAGGTTTGGATTTAGATTTGTGAGTCTGTTTGTGTTTTTGCCACTAGGGATTGAACCCAGAGGTGCTTTATCATGAGCTACACCCCCAGCTCTTTTTATTTTTTTAGTTTGAGACAGGGTCTTGCTAAGTTGCTGAGAGACTCATTAAATTGCTAAGGCTGGCCTCAAACTTGGGATCCTCCTGCCTCAGGCTCCTGTGTCACTGAGATTATAGGCATGTGCTACTGTACCCAGTTGGATTTAATTTTTGACCCAATGTGGATGTTTTTTCTTTTAATAAATTATCCCATTTTTCATTATCATTACAACAGATAAATTTGGAATTTATTTTTATATCTTATATCCTATTTATTATGATATCGTTTTAGTATTTTCTGGCCATTTTATTTGTTTCCTATATTTTGCTACTTGGTCTGGGTTTTCTTGCCTTCCTTTGCCCATACTGACATAATTTTAGCAATTTAGGAGATAAATTTTCATATATCCAAGTAGGGGGTTATAATTTAGTCATTAAATGTAAATTGGCAAAATTTCATTGACTGTGTAAAAGTACAAACAGCCATAATACCATTAATGTAAAACAAAGTTTTTTATCATTTATAATAACTACTATCAGTTATTTGTGAAGTTTAAAATTTGTATTATTTTAAAGTTTCCAAAAGTACATCTTTTAGCATTCTACTTTACTAATGAAATTAGCCACACCCATGTACACTACTTGAAGATCAGGAAACTGAAGGAAGGCAAAGATTCTAATTGCTTAATTCCCCAAAGTTTCAGTGAACACCGCCATGTATCAATCTGAGGTTTTCCAAGCAGTCACCAATAATCACACCAAACCACATTTCTTTCCACCCATTCATAGATTAGCATGTCCTAAAGAACAAGACATGTACCTTTGTGCAGAAGAGAATGGTCATGATAGAAACAGCAATGAAGACAGAAATGAAGAATGTGATGAACCAAGCAACCCAGTGCAGCCAGCTGTTCAATCCCATCATATACATATATTCCTAGAAAAATCAGAAGAACTAGATGTTATGACCAGTGCTCAGTCCTTTCTGGTCTGATCCAGCAGTCTGTTATAAAGACCCAAGCAGACTGGAATGAGGAGTCATGAGTTTGTACTGGAAAGGGAGGTTAGTGGAGGCTAATGGGAGACTGTGTGAGTTGGAAAAAGGAGTACAAACCAGTGAGTTGAGTGGTATTTATCGGTTTAGATATAGTACAATAGGCCTTGTATTAAAATTATTCCCCTTTAGTAATCTAAGTATACTATTGATTAGTTCATTTATTGAATGCCTCCTATAAGTGATGGCTCCTATGGCTCAAGGATGAAGTCTAAGTTTCTTATACGTCCTAATTTTAAATTCTGTTGGTGGTTACTTTGTTTTTCAAAAGCAGTATTTAACCTTCATTCATCTAAAGAAGAGTCTCAAGTGTAAAAGAGAAAATGCATGACCAATTCAATGATTGAAGTGCAAATATTTGATGTCCACTAGCACTCTACACTAGTTTGTTTCTGAAGTAATTGAACAAACTGGGACGGTCAAACTCCATCTCATATCTGGAAACTCAAAGGGAATTCTGGACACACACTGGGAGCTCATAGTTCCTCTAGGGATTTTCAGTAGGTGCAGAGTCTCAGTGTTATCCATGGCAGCAAAAAGGAGGCTCTCTTGCCTTCCTGCCACTCTAGAGCAGAGCCAATGCACTGTCAGTAGCAGCCTCAAAAGGCACTTGAATTGGTTTCTGCTCCTTCAACTGACTGATAAAGCAGGCCAAGGAATGCAATTTTCTAGCTATAAATGTTATCAGTGAGGTCAAACAATGCTCAGAGAGACACTGCAATCTTTTTTTTAAAATCTTTTTTAGTTTTAGATGGACACAATACCTTTATTTATTTATTTTTATATGGTGCTAAGGATGGAACCCAGTGCCTCACACATGCTAGGCTACCATTGAGCTACAACCCCAATCCCCAGCAGTCTTTTTAAATACATAGTTGTAAGAATCAGTAGAAGAAGAAAATTTAAGAGTAATAAGATTGTTGGKTTTTTTTTAAAGAACAGAAGCCAGGCATGGTTACACACCTGTAATCCCAGTAAATTGGGAGACTAAGGCAGGAGCATCCCAAATTCAAGCCTAGCCTGAGCAATTTAGCAAAATCCTGTCTCGTAAAAAGGACTCATTCAATCCCAAGTACCAAAAATAAAAAGCAGAAAGCAAGATGAGAATAGAGAGTAGAGCAAACAACAGGAGGCAGGCAAACAGAAAAGTGTAAGGAGCAAGAAAAATTGGTTATTTCAGCAGCAACTCAGCAAGACCAACCCTATCTAAAGTAGTGTCTTCCTTGGAGAATGCTTCCCATYCACTCTGCCATGAAATGAGAGAAAGCTGTGGATGGATGATCATCCCTTCAAACAAGCATCCTCTGAACACCTTCCTCATGGGAGGCAATATGCTACCCAACCCGGAAATACGAGGCTGGACCTTCCAAGGCTAAAATCAAGGATTCCTGCAATAAAAATGAATGGCATCCTCTAAATTGCAAGTAGGTTAAAAAATGAGTGTAGTTCTATGTTTCACCTGGGAGGTCACTCTGACACCTAAGCAACTTCTTAACTGCTTGGGCCTTATTCCTGCTCTGACCAGTTTCACTAGCAGCTCCCCAGATCCCTGTCCCAGGAGAGCCACCCATCTGATGCAGATGAGGTTACCTTCAGTTTTCTCTCTTTCTCCAGTAGGACAGTATTGATGATGATGAGCTCAATGCATATAAAGCTGAGCATGAGGAACAGTGRAAACTCGTTCTGAAGGACCAGGAAGAACCCGTCCTGAATATGGGGCCCATGTGGGAACCTCTGCAAGAGCACATTGAGTCTCTCAAACATGTCAGCTGAGGCATTGCGAGCATGGTGATGCATAATGGCTTTGTCCACAGCATGCTGTATGCCCAGGAAGCCTTCTTTGTAGTATCCTACAAGAAAATGAGATATCAAGCATAAGATATTAAGAAAGATTGAAGATGTGAAACAACTGATGATTCAGACAGATCACGGCTAGCCATTTAGAGACAGACATTGGCAAGACAACATCCCTATAGCCTGCATGCTACCATAAAGAGTAAAGAGGGGAGTTACCATGGAGCCCCCTTAGGTTGAGATGATGGCCTGTCTGATCAGAAATGGAATACAGGAATACAGAGCTAACAAAATAAGGAATGTCCCACATGAGAATCTCCCAAGGGCAAGCATATCTTCTCCCTTCTACTCAAACTCTGGGGAATGGAGTTTTTGTTCTGCAGTTTTGATCATCCAGCATGTACAGGATGATTAAACTCAAAGTACTTAGAAGACATAGCCCCCTGACCTATTGTGACCTGTTTCTTAGTTGTCACTTCTGCATAATCCAAGGATTATGTCTCTGAATTTTGCTGCTAAGCCTCAAAAACTGTCATTACCACAAGCAATGCGCATTTCAATCCAGTGTAGTGTACCAGGGTCATCTTTAAGGAAAAACAGGTTAAAAGGTGAAGATTCTCCRAGAGGTAATGACCCTACCTCCAAGCATGGGCAGCCAGCCTTCCATATGGGCACAGCAAGGTGGGGTATATTATCTGTGTAGTAAGTGACTACTGTCCTTCTATTTTCTAGATCTAGGCAGACCTAGATCTGTCAGGATGAAAAAGGGAGAGGCAAATCATCAGTAATAAATTCTGGAAATAGCTTTGCGTTCTTGGTTATATGTAGGAATATTTTCACTGCATAACTGCTGAATCTTTTCTAGAATCACATGAAGCTATAAGTACCTGGATGTGGGTTCTCACATGGTGAGCATGCAAGCCCAAGATTTCAAGCCAACTGTGTGGTCATTGTAAAATGAGGTGTAGATTACCAACTATTAAAAAAAAAAAAGTTATTTGCCTAAAAGGCGTTCACCCTAAATCTCTCATAAAGAGGGAAACCATAAAAATCTAAAGAGACCATGATTCTTTCACAAGAGAACTGGATCCTGGGCTTTCTCATAGGAATCTAATGCTTACTGTGAAGGACAGAGGTTGAATAGAACTCCAGTGATGTTCTGCTACTTCTCCAGAAGGCTGGCATGGCAGAAAGGAAAGCAGAAGCCTGTTGTGGCAGAAAGGAGAGCTGGGGCTGTAATAGTTCAGGTTGGTTCAAGCAAACTAGGTATCAAATAGGAGTGTCTACTTTGTCAGATGCAGTTAGATCTTTTTCCACAGCAGAGAGTATCGCGTTCCTGGCAACAGAAACACTCAGACTTTTGCCCACCCAGGGACGCCACTTGCCGGGCTCGTGACTAAAACACTCAGGGGTCACTCCAGGGGAACTGGGCTAATTGGGCTGCACGAAATAACCACCCAAGAGACAGAAATACATTTTTCTTTGGGGGTGCTGTGGCGGCTCCTCTGACCTTAAGGGTCCGCAGAAAGAGAGAGAGGGAGCCCACACGTGCTGACCCCTTTTATTGAGGAGAAGCTATTTAAATGAGGCAAGGGGCTGAGGATTAGTTTCTTGATGTCTGGGGCTGAGTTTAGCTTCATGATGTCTGATGTCAGCAGGCTGACTGACATCTAGGTAGGCCACACCCAAGGACACAGTAAGAGAAGGAGACACACAAAGGGTGTTTCCATGGAACATTCTATCTCAAACAGGGCAAGGGGTAATATTACAAAGGAATAGGTGAGCATAGCTCCACCCATAGGGATGTAGGAAGGCRCGCCCATGCACGAAGACACAGTCCCTCGTACCCTAAAAATTGGGGCTAGTGTCCGGGTTACCTAGGCAACCAGATCACAGAGTGACCCATGATGCTGCACCAATCAGAAGGGAGACAGACAGTCACGTGCTAGTTTGGCCTCCCACAAGAGAGCAAGCTGATGAGAAGCAGCCACTCAGAAAGGCTCTCCTTTATCCTCACTAGAAGGTTGCCAGGACAAAAAGTCAGCATGAATTCCCACAGAAAGAGAACTAAAGCACCAAGGGATCATGGCCCAGATTTAGAACCACACATCATCCCTTGGGACAAATTAGGAGCTCTTGGAAGCACACCCTTTGGTCTTAATGTTCTGTCAACTTCTCCTGAGCAAGACTGGTAGGGGAAAGGAAACTTTCTGAGGCCAAGGATAGGAGCATAGTCAGCCAAGATCATGTGGCCTAGAAGAGGAAACTGGGATTCTTATGCCAGTAGTCAGGTGGGGCAGGAGGGCAGAATAAGAACCAAGAAGATCTAAAATATCAGAGTGARTAAAATCAAAGTGAAGCATTAATCAATGCAGAAGCCAGGCAGAGTTCAGAGATTCTGGGGACAGAGCTGGGAAGTATCCTCCAAAGCAAGAAAAGAATCTTTASAGCTGCCCAGGCAGTCATGGAGCCTTTCAACAGTGAAGAAAGTTGTGTTCTGTTCCTCCTTTATTAAATTGAACAGAAAAGATGAAACTCAAAGGGCGTAGTTAGTGGAAAGAGGCATGCTAGGTATGGATAAATGGAACATATATGTTAAACAGGATATGTGTTCAAAAGAACAGAACAGTCTGGGGGTGTAGCTCAGTGGTACACTTGGCTAGCACTTATAAGGCCCAGGGTTTGATCACCAACACCACAAAAGAAGAAGGAGAAGGAGGAGGAGGAGAAAGGAAGGAAGGAAGGAGAAAAGAGAGATAACAAATAAACAGGAGTGGAACTTACAAGTGGAAATGGCCAGATAAATCTGACACATTTGTAAAGCACAGATCACTCTTTCCCCATGATGATGGATATGTCATCCCTACACTGGCCACCCACTGGTAACACCAGTTATGGTTGCATTCTGTCCCTGATGTCCTCTGCCCAAGAAACACAGACAAAGCCCACAGGTGCTCAGCAGGCTACTCAGAAGCTACAGGGACCAGGTGGTTCTGCCCCAGTACCTCAAGTAAGTGCTGGTGTCTGCTGTGACACAGAGGATATGCAAATGTTGGTTCTCCAGCCTTGGGGATCAATTTTCTGGCAGTAACCTCTAGAGCTATTATTGCATCAAGATAAATTCCCACACAACACTCTGGGAGCTTTAACATCTTGAAAAAGTCCACTAAAATGGTGGTCTGCAGAGAGTAATAGTAAATTTTTTTTTTAAAGAAAAGTTAATATATACAGAAACCTAGGAAAGGGACTCACACTCATTGTTCATGTAAAATGCTTCCATCCTTCTTTCAAACAATATAATTGCATGCATAACATACATGTAAGCATGTTATATGTTTTAACTTATATGTAAGCATATTACTGAATGCCACATTTTCAAATGCAAATTCCTTCAACTACTTCTGAAGTGCTAAGCTTATTAGTAAGTGTTCAGGCAGCAAAACAATAACAAAATAGCATCACAAACATGAGCCATATTTAAAGTGATACAAATAGGAAAAGAAGAGCTCAAACTATCACTATTTGCTGATGACATTATTCTATATTTTGAAGATCAAAAAAATTCCACCAGAAAACTTCTAGAACTAATAAATGAATTCAGCAAAGTAGCAGGATATAAAATCAATAACCATAAATCAAATACATTTCTATACATAAGCAATGAATCCACTGCAAGAAAAATTAGGAAAACCACTCCATTCATAAAAGCCTAAAAAAAAAATACTTGGGAATCAATCTAACAAAAGAGGTGGAAGATTTCTATAATGAAAACTACAAAACACTAAACAAAGAAATTAAAGAAGACCTTGGAAGATKGAAAGATATCCCATGCTCCTGGATAGGCAGAACTAATGTAGTCAAAATGGCCATACTACCAAAACTATTATACAGATTTTAATGCAATTGCCATTAGAATCCAAATGACATTCTTCATAGAACTAGAAAACTCAATCATGAAATTAATTTGGGGGGCTAGGGATGAGGCTCAGTGGTAGAGGGCTTGCCTAGCACATGCGTGGCGCTGGGTTCGACCCTCAGCACCACATAAAATAAATAAATAAATGAAATAAAGATATTKTGCCCAACTTCAACTAAAAATATATTTTTAAAAATTCATTTGGAAAAATAAGAGACTCAGAATAGCCAAAGCAATCCTCAGCAAGAAGATTAAAGCAAGAGGCATCACAATACCAGACCTTAAACTATACTACAGAGCTATAGCAACAAAAACAGCATGGTTTTGGTATCAAAATAAACATGTAGAGTAATGGCACAAAATAGAAGACACAGAGACGAACCCACAAAAATACAATTATCTCATACTAGACAAAGGCACCAAAAACATACATCAGAGAAAAGATAACTGTTCAACAAACGGTGCTGGAAAAACTGGAAATCCATATGTAACAAAATGAAATTAAACCTCTATCTCTCACCCTGCACAAAAATCAACTCAAAGTGGATCAAAGACACTAGACACTTATACACTAGAGCAGAGACACTTAGACACTAGAGCAGAGACCCTGCATCTGCCTAATAGAAAAATAGTAGGCTGGGGCTGGGGATGTGGCTCAAGCGRTAGCGTACTTGCCTGGCATGCACGGGGCGCTGAGTTCGATCCTCAGCACCACATAAAAATAAAATAAAGATGTTGTGTCCACCGAAATCTAAAAAATAAATATTAAAAAATTCTCTCTCTCTCTCTCTAAAAAAAAGAAAGAAAGAAAAATAGTAGGCCCAAATCTTCATTAAGTCACCTTAGGACCTGACTTTCTTAACAAGTCTCTGAAGCACAAGAAGTAAAATAAAAAATAAATAAATTGGATGGATTCAAACTAAAAAGTTTCTTCTCAGCAAGGGAAGCAATCAATAACATGAGAGAGTCTAAAGAATGGGAAAAAAAAATCTTTACCACACACCCCTCAGATAGAGCACTAATCTCCAGGATACATAAAGAACTCAAAAAACTTAATACCAAAAAACCAAATAACCCAATCAATAAATGGGCTAAGGAACTGACCAGACATTTCACAGAAGAATAAGTACAACCAATCAATAAATATATAAAAAATGTCCATGATCTCTTGCAATTAGAGAAATGCAAACCAAAACTACTCTAAGAGTTCCTCTCACCCCAGTCAGAATGGCAATTATCAAAAATACAAGCAATAATAAGTGTTGGTGAGGATGTGGGGAAAAGGTACACTCATACATTGCTGGTGGGACTGCAAATTAATGCAACCACAATGGAAAGCAGTATGGAGATACCTCAGAAAACTTGGAATGGAACCACATTTGACCCAGCTATCCCTCTCCTCAGTCTATACCTAAAGGACTTAAAATTAGCATACTACAGTGACACAGCCACATTAATGTTTATAGCAGCTCAATTCACAATAGCTAAACTATGGTACTAACCTAGATGCCCTTCAACAGATGAATGGATAAAGAAAATGKGGTACATATATACAATGGAATATTACTCAGCCTTAAAGAAGAATGAAATTATGGCATTTGGAAGTAAATGGATGGAACTAGAGAACATCAGGCTAAGTGAAATAAGCCAATCCCAAAAAAACAAAAGCTGAATGTTTTCTCTGATCAGCAAATGCTGATCCATAGTGGGGTAGGGGGAGAGGGAAGAATGAAGGAACTTTGGTTTGTGTAGAGGGGAATGAGAGGAGGGGTAGGGCTGCAGGGATGGGAAGGACAGTAGAAGGAGACAGACATTATTACCCCATGTACACGTGTGATTACACTACTGGAGTGACTCTGCACCATGTACAGCTGGAGGAAGGAGAAGCTATGCTCCATTTGTGTACAATATGTCAAAATGCATTCTATTGTCATGTATAACAAATTTTAAAAAAGAAAATAACCAAATATGAGCCATAGGACAAGAGTGTGTATGCTCATGGTAGTTCACACAGCTTCTGGATTTCCTCACCAGGGATTCCGCCATCAGTAAATGCAAATTCCCTGGGTTCATAGCTTAGGTTAGGAGGATAAAGAAAGGATGTGCACCAGCCTTCGGAGTTCTCTTGAAGAGACGTATGCTTCATTGATGCAAAGTTCCTCTGAATATAACTGAAGTGCAAGTTATACTTCACCTACAGAGTATAAAGAGAAAACAAATTTGGTCACAAGATGGTGAAATTCAGCAGTGGCAAAACAAAGCACTGTGTTTGACATCAGCTGTGACTGGAGGAAAGGCCCACACTAGTTGATGTCAGTCCTGGAACTGACCACATAGCATTCTCTCATACAGGTCTTCCCTGCAAATTATCCCTGGAACCAAACTGGGGAAAAAATAATAGGGTACTGAATACTCTGAACCCAGGCCACTGGATCTAAACTCAAAATCTCCTATAGAAGAACTATACTACCCTGGACAAGTTTCTTTATGCTTCAGTTTCCCCATCAATAAAATGGGGATGCTATTATCAGCTCCTATTTTGAAGACTGCTGTAGGCTTACATGAAATGGTGTCTGCAATGTGCCTGGCATTGATGAGTGAAGTGCCTACAAAGTATTCCCGGTTATTTTATTAACCCCACACAAGTTCTAACAATTAATCATCAGATCATAGAGCACAAAAACTGTACATGAGTAATTTTCCCATTCTAAAAYATTAAATATTCAAATATTTAATTGTTTTTTCCCTTAAACAAACACAGAAACCTATCATACCTGAAGTGAGATTAGTAATAATGGCAAAATAACTAATCCTCTCTGGAAAACTCCTAATACAGGCTCTGTTCTAAGTGCTTTACAGACATAAATCTATTTCCTTCTCACAACAACCCTGTATGTTAGGCACTAATAATAACCTCACTGCCCCAGTAAGGACACTGGGGCCCTAAAATGTTAGACATTGCAGACACCATTTCATAACTTTCCTGAGGTTGCACCACTAATAAGGTGCAGAGCTAGGACTGGGTTTTAATGTACCCTGGTTTGGAGCCCACTTCTATAATTAAGCAGTTAAATACATGTCATACAGCATTGTCAGGACAGAAGTTTGCTCAGAATAAATTCTCTTTYAAAGAGTCTAAAAGCCGGGCTGGGGATGTGGCTCAAGCGGTAGCACGCTCGCCTGGCATGCGTGCGGCCCGGGTTCGATCCTCAGCACCACATACAAACAAAGATTTTGTGTCCGCCGAGAACTGAAAAATAGATATTAAAAAAAAATAATCTAAAAGCCAAAGGGACTTCAAAGACCAGTGGTAAGACATGAAACACAAAAGCATTCTCTCATCAACTCTGGAAATAAGATGGCAAAGCTACCACAGAGGAAAGCAGAGGAGCAAATAAGCTACCTAGGCTCAAGGTAAAGTTGTAAAAGAAGTTTGTTTCAGAAAAGATTTTCTTTTTTAAAAAATTTTTATTGTTGGTTGTTCAAAACATTACCTAGTTCTTGACATAACATATTTCACACTTTGATTCAAGTGGGTTATGAATTCCCATTTTTACCCCATATACAGATTGCAGAATCACATCGGTTACACATCCACTGATTTACATATTGCCATACTAGTGTCTGTTGTATTCTGCTGCCTTTCCTATCCTCTACTATCCCCCCTCCCCTCCCCTCCCCTCCCCTCTTCTCTCTCTACCCCATCTACTGTAATTCATTTCTCCCCCTTGTTTTTTTTCCCTTTCCCCTCACTTCCTCTTGTATGTAATTTTGTATAACCATAGAAAAGATTTTCTTACCCCAAGTGGCAAAGGTTCCCTGCTGTCATTGAAGTTATGGTCAAAAACAATTCCTACCAATATGTAGAAAGCTTTGGGATCATTAATTATGTAACTTTCAAACACAGGCACGGAAGAAAAGCCTAGAACTATAGAGAGAAAAATCCAATTAGTGAGCAGCTGGGTGTGCAGGCAAATGCTATCTACTTCCCCCTCTCTACCTAAGGAGATATAAAATATCAGTTTACTTCTCCRTTCACTCATTCATTTTGCAAATATAGGAGCAAAGAAATTAAAAGACAGAAGGTGGGAAGACAAGAGACATCAGACAAGAATCTGATTAATCACCTGAGAAATGTTTGCACTGAAAAAGGTATGTTTGCAATTTGTGCTGATCATGATTTTGTAGTTCAAGAAGACTTCATGAAAGCAGTCAGAAAAGTGACTGATTCTAAGAAGCTAGAATTTAAATTGGACTACAAACCTGTGTAATTTTATTGTAAGGTTTTGGATGGCTGCATGACAGACATTGACTTAATGTAAAAATAAAGTTAAGGAAAATAATGTATATATTGGCAATGATCTCGTTAAATGTGAATGAATAAAATATGTATGAGTAACATAAAAATTAGTATGTAACTCAGTAATTCAACTTTTAAAATTGACACAGAAGAAATTTGTGTTTGTTAATGTTGCATTTATTGCAGCAAAAGTTACAAGAGTGTTGAAGCTTTTCGCATTTGCCATGTGAGCATTTTGTAAAACACTGAAAAATAGTTTGAGATAGTAGTACAAGAGAGCATTTCTTAAGACTTATTTTATATCATTTGTTTTCATCATTCTAACAAAATTTAATAAAATCTGTTTGATTTAGTTCTAAAAAAAAAGAATCTGATTAATCAGGTCAGAATATGAACTGGAAGTCTGCAATCCCAAGAACTGCTAGCAACTGTCCTGGGACTTCATGCTAAGGAAGGGAGAGAGAGAATTAAGTCCTGTGAGTAACTTGAGACCTGGGTAAAGCCTGATGGGTTTGTTGTTGTTGTTGTTGTTAAAAGAATGATCTTTATTTTTGTAGGAAGTTTAAGTTCCATTTCATCCTTTCATATCTTGTTTATAACCCAAGTTTTAAATTGTTTTTTTTTTTTTTAGAGAGAAGAGAATTTTATTTTTAATATTTATTTTTTAGTTCTTGGCGGACACAACATCCTTGTTGGTATGTGGTGCTGGGGATCGAACCCGGGCCRCACGCATGCCAGGCGAGCGCGCTACCAGTTGAGCCACATCCCCAGCCCATAACCCAAGTTTTACATGTTGGTTATTTTATTTTTCTTTTCTAGAAATGTTTGCCCCCTCCCCAGTTCAATTGGCTAGGTGACTATAGTGACATACCACCTACAAATATGTTCTTTTATTTTTTGAACTAAGTAGTGATTTTGTAATTTGAGACTAATAATTCCATTATCTGAATCTTCTAGTTCTGTTTTTTAATCTTTTATTTATTTATTCATTCATACATTCATTTATGTGGTGCTGAGGATTCAACCCAATGCCTCACCAATGCAAGGCAAGCACTCTACGGATGAGCCACAACCCCACCCCCTCTATTTCTGTTTTTGCTCTCTGTTGTTAATACTGTTTGTCACCCTTGGTATCATTTCCTGGCATATTTGCTCACTGACATTAAAATATTTGTATGTGGGGTGGGGGAGTGTCTTCTTTGAGATACAGAATGATGGTATATCCTCCAAAGAAGACTTACACTGTGTCTCTCAGTCTTGAATCCCACTTCATAGTGTGAGGGGTTTTCATTTTTCTTTTTTTCACTTTCATTCCTTCCCCCCCACCCATTCTTTTCTCCCCACAACTGCCTTGTGTCTCTCCTTGAATTTGAGCTACAAGTCTCAGGGTTGAGTTCTCCTTGTTGTGCTCAATTCCAAGGCAACATTCCTGCAGATCCTCAGGAGTAGGAGTGATATATATTTACTTTTACTTTACATTAAGGATGTAGGCAATTTGGGTTCCAGCTTTATGGGAAGATAGTCTCCTATTTGACACTCCACCTTGAATGAGCCTTAACTTCCTATTTCGCTCTGTGCCTTACAAGGCTATGAAAACTAGTTCAATTTCCTCTTGTACGATGCATGTTTCATCAAAAGCAATTTAGGGTCTCTTTGGGTTCTTTCTTTCATCTAGATATTTTTATGTAGGAAATTATCTAACAAGCTGAGAATACATTTACAATATGGTGATAAAAGTCAGACAACAAAACTGTTCATACAATAGGATCCAATTTTTAGGTATTTACATGGTTAGAAAAAGTTGGGGCTCAGTGGTAGCACCCTTGCCTGGTATGTGTGAGGCACTGGGTTCAATTCTTAGCACCACGTATAAATAAAAAAATAAAGATCTATCAACAACTAAAAAATATTTTTTAAAAAAGTGTAAGAAGGGTGTCCACCAAGATATAAGGAGTAAATTTATTTATTTCAAATATGGACAGATAGGCACAGTTTCTGTTTTGTTTCTTYAGCCTTATTTAGGTTATATTTATTTATTATTTATTATAATTCCCCCACCTCAGCCTCCCAGTAGCTGGGACTACAGGTATGTGCCACCACACCTGGCTTAGGTTTCTTTTTAAACACACACACATATACACAGTTAAATTGTTGTTTTTTTTTTTTTTTTTAGAAGTTTATTAAAGGACAGAAGAAAAGACTTCTYCCGGAGGAAGAAGGGGACCCAGAAGGTGGAATCCCTACACAGTTAAATTGTAAAAATTATCAGATACATATGAAGGTATCCAAAACAAAATGCTCAGTTTAATAAATAATTATAAAATTAATACCTAAGTAATCACCCCTTGGATTAAAAGATAAAATACTTATATAATAGATTTTTTTGCTAGATAATTCCTGACTATTTAGTTCTTTAATGCTTCCAAGAACATATTTTTAGTTTTCATTCAGCATTTACTTTTCACTGGAGGGATGATCCAAATGAGCTAGTCCACTATATTACCAGAGAGAATGGCAATAGCCTCTTTTTCAGAAATTTCCAGGAAAAAAATCTCACATTTCCTTGATTCTCACTAAGCATGCCTCCATGACAGATCAACCATGCAAGGGACTGCAAAGTGCAGATTGGTTTAGGCATTGGTTACATGATCTATCCCAAGCCCAGAGTGTAGTCAACAGCAATGAAAATACATGAGCTGAGAACGGGAGGGGGTCAGACTCTCAGAGAAACAGGCTACAGGAAGAAAACCAAAACTGATGTCCACCACACACTGGAAAAGATCATCAAACTGTTATTTGTCATTACTCTAAGGTGAAGAATTTTATTAGGATATGGAATAAAAAGGAAAAGTTATTTTTATCTTTTGTCTTTTATATCGTGTAAAATTTCCAGTACAAAGAGTTCCTGTATTTACTGTAAGTTTCAATGTATTGAAGATTTTTTTAAATCCCAGAAAAGAACATTCCAATTCATAAAAGAATTCTGGGAAGTAGGATTTGGGATTAGGCACCTAACTTTAATTAATACCATACAGTTTCATGTATCACATTTGTGCTAAAGAGAGCAGTGAGAAAGGAAGGCAGTGTTTGGGGAACAAGAAGTGAGTAAAACAGAGGGAAGCAAAGATATCAGGAAAGCAGAAATAAAAGACAGCACTATCCCAGGATGCAAAGGAGAAGAGGATTTCAAGGAAGAAGTATTTGGACACTGCCCTGTTGTATAGCAAAGACACAGAGAATGAAGACTGGAAAAGAAGTCCTGGATTTGGCAACTAGCAAGACCATGATCACATTTTCTTAGCAGATATCGCTCTGGTACTGAGGGCAAAACAGAGATTATGTTACTAAGTGGGTGGGAAGAAATAAAATAGAAATAATTTCCAAGATATTTATCAGACAAAAAATAAGTTGCCTGAAGAAGGATCTTAAAGGGGAGAGAATACAGGAAATGTTTCCTTCTGAAGTGGAGGTGACTGAGGCTTGTTTGGGAGTGAGGGGGAAATCCATACAGATGGAAACACTTCTCTGAAGGGGTAAGGTACTGACTGAGGAGGGTCCAAAAAAGGCAAGAAAGCTTCTGACTGATCCCTTCTAATTCCAAAATGTATCTTGAATTCAACTATGTATCTCCATCTCCCTAGTTCAAGCTATCAGATCTTTTAAATCAAATTATATCATAGAACTTTCAAATTTAAAAAATTTTACATTTAAACATTTTAAAACAAACTATATGTTTTCTTAAAACCCCACAGATGGCTGCCTTTTGCAAATACAACATGGTCTGCAAGACTCAGAATTACGTGGCTCCTACCAACTTCTTAAACCTCAGCCCAAGCCACTCTCTCAATGTGCTCCAGCTGGCTTGCTGACTTTGGAATCTTCAATACTTAACTACTTACTTCCTCAGGACCTTGCTATTTGCTATAGAAATCCGTGAAGGGGAATGAGGCAGAGGCAAGAAACTGAAAATCTGCTTAGCTACCTTCGTAAGCATCATTTAAGCTAAAACCTGAAGCTGAGAGAATAGCTCCCCAGAAGGGCTGGAGCACAGTTTTTTTTTTGTTGTTGTTGTTTTTTTTTTTTGCCAGAGGAAAGAGCTGGTGAAAAGCCACCTGTATGTGCAGGATATGACAGCAAAGGGAGAGTGGGCTTGGAGGAGGCTGGAGAGGAAGGCAGAGGCAGCCTGGAGAATCTGGTTCACTCTTGGTGCAATTGGAAGGACATGAGCTGAATCTTTTTTTTTCCAGATGGAGTCTCACCATGTTGACCAGGCTACTCTCAAACTCTTGGACTCCAGCAATCCTCCTGACTCAGCCTCCCAAATAGCCAGGACTACAGGAGTACAATCTTATGACCTTTTGAGGACCTTTCTTCCTCCCTGGGAGACTGAAGTAGAATGGAACAAGAGAAGCACAGAACCTGTCAGAGTCTCTGAATGGTTTCCATTCTTTATTAGTCAGAGACATGTAATAACTGGCAATCAGATCKTCTGATTAACATGAAATAATAGGGTCATGATAGTTAAAAATACTTATTAACATTTTGATTACCCTTGAAGCCTCATGATATAARTGTATGTCTCCAGTGTGTTTTTTGAAATAATAAAAATGTATCATGGACAGTTTTCCTCCAACTACCACCTGCGTGGGCTCTTTAGAATTTGAAAACCTCAGATTTGGAATTACTTCTATAAGCAGAACTCTCAGAAAACAGTTTCATACTATGTGAAAATACCTTCCCTATCCTTTTCCCACCTTATGTCTAACCTTCAAACTCAACATCAAAAGTATCTTCCACCATTTCAGTGAGAGCCTTCAAAGTCTCACTCTTGGAAGGGATATAAACTAGTTGAAATTTATTTTTCACAGGAAACTGATGGAAGAAGTCTGGCAGCGAACTGACATCAATTGCACTGTAATTAGTAGCAGCTCTTTTTCTTGGGACACTATTAAAACGAAGATACAATACAACTGCAGAAAATAGTAATGGCATCAAGATTTCAAGCACTGTCATCAGAATCCTCCGCTTCTAAAATAAAAACAAAAGTTACAGGTTAACTCAAAATCACTCTAAGTCTCTATTGAGGAGAATGTTCTTCCATTTCGCATCCTTTCAAACCTATAATCCCAGTGGCTCTGAAGGCTGAAGCAGAAGAATCAAGAGTTCAAAGCCAGCCTCAGAAATTAGTAAGGCCCTAAGCAATTCAGCAAAACCCTGTCTCTAAGTAAAATATAAAAAAGGGCTGGGGATGTGGTCCCTGGGTTCAATCGCTGGTACCAAAAAAAAAAAAAAAAAAAAAAAAATCCTTTCTTCTAGTCTCCCCATATAACAAATGGGGTGGGGAGAATAATAGTTTAGAAATATCTCTATTTACTTTTCTTTTTAAAAATATCTTTTTTAGTTGTAGTTGTACAAAATACCTTTATTTTATTTATTTTTATGTGGTGCTGAGGATCGAACTCAGTGCCTTGCACATGCTAGGCAAGTGCTCTATCACTGAGCCCCAGCTCCTCTATTAACTTTTCTACAACACCACTGGTTGGAAATCAGACAATGATATTATCTTTCATAATGAGGGTTAACAGAATTACTATGGAAACATGCCTTATTTGCAGAATAGTGCCCCTTTACAAGCAAAGTTCTTACTGTTTCTTTAACCCATTATTAGCAACCAATTTCACATAAACATTCAGTCACTCCCAAGAACCTACATCCCACCATGAATAACTATACCTACCTTTAAGATGAAATTCTTCCAGAGAAGAAGTTTTAACTTCTTGAACACTGCCATTTTTCTAGCTGAAGGGGAAGGCTCAGCACTAGTCAGGAAACAAATGGGTGAAATGTTATGTGTAATGCAAGAATGCTAAGAGGTACTCTTATATCCTTGGACAACCTTCTTGTGGGCTTTCAGAGCATCATGCTGGCTGCTTTTTCTCCTACCTTTCCTGTTGTTCCTTGTCAGTCTTTTAAACTGACTCTTTCTTCTCTCCCCAGCCCTTATGAGGCTCAGACTGTGGACTCTTTTCCAGTAACACTCCTTAGGTGACCTAACTCAGCCCTGGATTAGGATCCAACTTCATGCTGAAGACTTCTATATTTGTACAAACGGCCTGCACCTTGCCTTAAGCTCCATTTCCAATTATCCAGTTGCCTGTTTGACATACCCACGTGTTTCATCTCAAAACTGACCTAGCCAAACCGGGCTATTCATATTCTTTCAAAAATAGGTCATCCCACAGTCTTCCTCACCTCAATTCATTCAGTTCTATTCTTTGAGTCATACAGGGTTATTCTTGGCTTTCCTCTTTCACAGCCCAAGTTTAGACCTCAGCAAATCCTATTGCCTCTACCTTTAAACACTCCCAGAATTCAACCCCCTTCACCACTTCTGCTCTTTATCATCCCTTGCCTCAATTTCCGCAATAGCCTCTGCAGTGGCTTCATTGCCTCTGACCTTGTTACCTTAAAATCCTTTTCCGAGCAGCATCAAGAGCAACCCCGTACAGTCAGATCCTGTCTGTTCTTCGGCTCAATACTCTTCAATGGCCCTAATTTCTCTCCAAGGAAAAGCCCTGCCTTACAATGGCCTACAAAGTTCTGGGGGACATAGCTCCTACTAGTGTTCTCATTTCATCTACTCTCTTCTACTTCCCTTCCCTTCCTCCTTCTCCAGCTCCTGTCAAGGCCCRGATGCTATCCCTAAACACACAAAACTGCTTCTATGTTTGGATTTCCCCTCTACCAGGTACAAGTACACACTTTATTCCTGTGTTGGCATGGCCAGCTTTTCTATCTCTTTTGGATCTTTATTCAAAAGACACTTTCTCTTTGAAAACTTTCTTGACCATTCAAAATAAAATCTCAACATCTCTAAACATTTCATACAACTTTTCATGTTTATTCTTCTTAGCACCATTAAGCTATGTAACATATTTATGTACTTATTTAATCATATTTCCTTCCTAGAATGCATGTTCCATGAGGCATGGATATTTTTTTGTCTGTTTGTTCTACCACAGAATCCCCAGGCATAAAAGCAGAGCTGGCACATAGTAGGTGCTCAGTAAATATTGAATTAAATGACTAATTGATTAATTAACTAAGAGATACATAGTCTTTGTAGGGTTATGGATGGATAGGAATGACTGTGAATAGATAAAAATACTTCTGGTTAGCAGAAGATTCCACCTCTTTTCAATCTTTTTGTTTATACTTTAATTTTTAGAAACCATTACTATAATAAAAATGAATTTTGCTTTACCAGAAAACATTTTTCCAGTGAGGAAAGAAAAAGATATACATCTTCCCTCAATTGGAAGTACTCTTGCCTTTACACATTTGCAATTAAAGCAGTAGAGCTTATAAATATAGGAATAAACCTAGTTCTAGGCTGGATCACATCCTTTGTGTTACACTTTTAACAATACTGTTTTCTTAAACACAGAAAACTCTCTCTTTCTCATAACACAAGAATTTTAGAAGTAGCATCTTTAGGAATAAAAGCAGAGTGTACTCACAGACGATGGTGGAAACTGGCCCCTCCACTGAATTGTCTGAAACAACTGTCTGTGGTGTCCACTAGGGACTGGTTCCAGGACACCCTTCCCTCCACAGATACCAACCATGTGGAAGCTCAAATCCCTTACATAAAACAGCACTGTATTTGCATATAACCTATGTTTTTTCACCCATACTTTAAATTTAAATTATCTTTCGGTTACTTATCATGTATAAATACAATATAAACCCTATGTAAGTGGTTAGCATACTGCATCATTTAGGGAATCATGATAAGAAAAAAGACATGAAACATGTTCAGTATAGACACGACTACCACTGGTCTAACTACATAGTCCACAATCTACAGCTAATTGAATCCATGGGTGTGGAACCCAAGAATACTGAGGGCCAACTGTATGTGCCAATTATAAGAGASTCACTTGATACCCCAATCACATGTAGGTTGAAAGTGAAGGATGGAAAAAGCTCTTCCATGCAAATATAACTAAAAAAGAGCAGGCTGACTATAATAATACTTGACAAAGTAAATTTTAAGCAAAAAAAATTACAGAAGAAAAAGGATATTTTTACACTAAGAAAAAGGCCAAATCTTCAATAAGATAGAATGATTAATAATGACATCCTATCATTTATAGTAAAATAGATGAAACTAGAGGATATTATGTTAAGTGAAATAATCCAGACATAGAAAGACAAATGCTGCATCTTCTCTCTGATGTATGGATGCTAAAAGAGTTGATCTGAATATAGAAGAGTGGTTACTAGAGGCTGGGGAGGGGGGCATAAAGTGACACCAGATAACATTTAGCAAATGTGACATATTTATATAGGAGTAATAAGTTCTAGTGTTTGATAGGACCATGAGGTGACTATAGCTAGTGCACAATAATCTATTATATAAATAGCTAGAAGAGAGGAGCTTGAAGTCTCCAAACACAAAGTAGTGACAAGGAGATAGAAATGTTTATTACTCTGATTTGATCAATACATGCTGTATTTATGCACTTAAGTATCACACTGTACCTCATAAATGTGATTATTGTCTGTTCATAAAAAATCTAACTTGGTGTGGTGGTACATGCTTGTAATCCAAGCTACTCAAGAGGCTGATGCAGGAAGACTGCAWATTTGAGGCCAGCCTTGGCAACACAGGGAAATCCTATATCAAAATAAAATTCAATAAAATGGACCAGAAGTATGGTTCAGATATGTGAGAAACCCTGAGTTCAATCCTCAGTACCACACACAAAAAAGTTTACAGAAATGAAAAGTTAACTGACCTAATTTGATCATTACACATTTATATCAAGTTATCTCACTGTACCCTATAACCATGTACAATTAGTAATTACATTTTAAAAATAAGCATGACCATAAAAGAAGATAAATATATACACACCAAACAACAGATATCCCAAACACATTAAGCAAATATTGATAGAATTGAAGGGAGAAATGGACAATTCTTTTTTTTTTATTATTGGTCGTTCAAAACATTACATAGTTCTTAATACATCATATTACACGGTTTGATTCAAGTGGGTTATGAACTCCCACTTTTACCCCGTATACAGATTGTTGAATCACATCAGTTACCCTTCCATTGATTGACATATTGCCTTTCTAGTGTCTGATGTATTCTGCTGTCAGTCCTATTCTCTACTATCCCCCTCCCCTCCCCTCCCCTCCCCTTTTCTCTCTCTACCCCTTCTACTGTAAATCATTTCTTCCATTTGTATTATCTTGTCTTACCCCTCCTTTCCTCTTATATGTCATTTTGTATAACCCTGAGGATCGCCTTCCATTTCCATGCGATTTCCCTTCTCACTCCCTTTCCCTCCCACCTCTCATCCCTGTTTAATGTAAATCTTCTTCTCAAGCTCTTCRTCCCTACCCTGTCCTTGTTTACTCCCCTTATATCAAAGGAGTCATTTGGTGTTTGTTTTTTAAAGATTGACTAGCTTCACTTAGCATAATCTGCTCTAATGCCATCCAAGAAATGGACAATTCTACAGTAACAGTTGCAGACCTTGAAAAATGCACTGCAAAAATTCTTTTCTCTTTTTAGTGCTAGGGATCAAACCCAGAACCTTGTGTATGCTAGGTAAGCACCCTACCACTGAGCTTCACTCCTAGCCCTCTATACTGCAAATTTAATAATAGATAGAACTAGACAGAAAATACAACACAATGTCTCTAACAAAGGGACCACACACAAACTATAGCACACATTAAAAGGATCATGCATGGGTAGCTCAGTGGTTGAGCGCTTGCTTTGCATGCATGAGGCACTAGGTTCAATCCTCAGCACCACATTAAAAAAATAAACAAAATAAAGATATTGTGTCCATCTACAACTAAATATATATATTTTAAAGGATCATGCATCATGACCAAATGGGATTTATCCCWKGAATGCAAAGATGTTTCAACATAAGAAAATCAATCAATGAGTATGACAAAATTATGCTATGTACATGTATAAATACACCACAATGAATTCTACTTTTATGTATATCTTTAAATCACCAATTAAGAATAAACAAATAAATAAATAAATGGAAGGTATGCCAGTAGAGCAGAGGAAAAGAACCGGGGGTGTGGGGGGAGCACTGGGGACTGAAATGGAGTAAATTAAATTCCATGCATGTATAATTATGTCAAAAGGAACCCAAATTTTACTATGCACTAATAAAAGCAAAAAAGTACTTGACAAGTACATGACTTACAATGTGCAAACCAACATGAAGGCATTATTTGGAAAAAAAGAAAACTAATCAATGTAATATATCACATTAATAGAACAACAATAAAAATCCTATATGATCATCTCAAAAGATTCAGAAAAGGCAGTTGACAAAATTTAACACCTTTTGGTGATCAAAAATATCAGCAAGTTATAATAGAAGATAATTCCCTAATATGATATAAGGCATTTATGATTAACCCACAGCTAACATCATAATGAATAGTAAAAGACTGAAAATTTTCCCCCTGAGGTCAGGAATAAGACAAAGATGCCTGCTTCTACCACTGGTATTCAACACTGTACTGGAAGGAAGTCCTAACTAGAGGAATTAGGCAAAATAAAATAAAATATTTGTTGACTTTTTCTTCTTTTAATGAATGAACTCCATGCAATGAATTTTCCTCTTAGTACTACTTTCATAGTCTCCCAGAGATTTCGATGTTGTGTCTATGTTCTCATTTACCTCTAAGAATTTTTTAATCTCCTTAATGTCTTCTGTAACCCATTGTTCATTCAGT